AATAATCACCACAAATTTTGTTTATTTTTCTGTGGGTTCCGTAGCAATGTTTATCCGTTAGACTGCGACGTGGCGCTAACGCGCTTCGTTATTTCTTCTCTAACACAGCCATTCAGCACAAAAAAAAATCAAAATTTTCAAAAGGTTTCAAAATATTAAAAAAAATCTAATTTTTCTACAATTTCAAAGCGATAAAACTTTTTTAAAAATTTTAATTTTCGTTACGGAAAGTACCAGCAATTTGTCTTAAAGCACGACGGCATGCACCTCTAGTTCTTAGTTTTCGCTGAATGAAGGCTAAGACTGTAGCCGAAAAATATTGGTTCTTATAGGTTTTAACTTATCTTACTTACTTACTGAAAGGAATATTTATTTCAACTCTGCGGATGATTTTTTTGACGAAATATTAAGGGGGTTGTTCTTTTTTTTTACAAAAAGTGCAAGGTATTTGTTTTTGTTTTTCTCGAAATGTATTTATCATAGAGACATAATTTTTTTTAAAACAAAAATTACAAAATTATGGAATATTACGCAATTTTCTTCTTTTTTATTTTGCGCCGTCATTTTTTAACCAGGGGGCGCCAAAGTTGGTCTTGCAAAATCGATCTCTTTTCGGTGCCACAGATAAATCCGTTGCGCATCGCCCGAAACAAAAAAAAGAAACTACGTTGAAGAAAAAGTTTGAATCCAGTCTCCCTACCAAAATGAAAGAAAAAAAGCAAGAAGAAAAAAAATGGCAGCTATTTAAAAAAAAGTGTCAAAAAAAGCCTTTTTTTGGGCCAAGAAGGTTCGCAAATTTTTTTTGCGTAATGTTATCAAGTTGTTTGAGGTAGGGGGACTAGGTATTGCAGTGGTGAACAAATTAAAAAAAATGCAAGTCGATCCGACGTAATACTGTAGTTTTTTTTTTATTTGTGGCACCGCATTGAAAAAAGTCAATTTGAGAAAAACGTATTTAAAGTTTTTAATACAATGTACTAAATACATCATTTAATTTAATGTACGAAATACACCATAGTGTTCAAAGATGCTGACACATTGAAAAGGTCATGTACATGAGGTATTATGATGAAAAAGAGGCAGCTGGCTTACAATAGCTCGCGGAACGATAAAAAACGCTTTCAGAGGATCATACGTATAGAGATATATATATCTATAACTTCGTCAAAAAAATAGATATTGAGATGATTTTTTTTTAAAATATTTCTAAGGTTTTTAGCTTTCATAATATCAAAAAATCTCAAAAACCGAAACAAAAAAATAAATAAAAAAAAGGAACAACCCCCTTAAATCAAAGTTATATATACAGTAATATCTCTGTAAAAATGCACCGGTGAAATTTATATTTTGCAATGGTTGAATAATGTAGCTATTATTTCGTAAAATTTCTTTAAAATTGACAATAAACATTGGACCTGTTTGCTATGGGGTAAAAAAAAACAGATGATTTTTAAAATCAATTTTAAACAGTAAATAAACACATTTCTACAATGATGAATTAGTTAGGAGTTTTAATGAACATTGTCAGATAATTGTTTGTTTGATATGTTTGATAGTTGTGATTTTTACAATGGAATTGCGCAAAGTCAAATTGGACCTTTGTGCTCTGTCCTACCCCTTATATATACTAGATGACCCGATAGACGTTGTCCTGTACCCGAGTCTACAATTCAGTTCCAAATTTCTTAATATTCTATTTAATGTCCTGCCTTTATGATTCATTTATGGTCTAAACATAAGCTATAAGTATTGGAAATTGCAGTTTTTTTATCAGTATAAGAAATTCAGAAATAATATAGTATCTGCGGTAAAAAAAACAATATCACCTTTGATTTTTCCAAACAATATAATTGCTTCAATAACTTAGTATATATTTTTATAGTCTCGTAACAAATATAGTTACTTTTTAGCAATTACAATTTCTAAATTACATTTTCCTTAGTAATAATTTAATAAACATTATTAAGTAAGTTCAAATGATGGGTGAATTAACTTGAAAAATCTAATTCATATGTTCACTGTTCAATCTAATTATAAGATCATAAACTTGCTAAATCATAGATAATGCTAAATATTTAATAGACAATGACAAACAAATTGATTTTTTACACAAACAAAATTCTAAATCATTTTTTCAATAAGTAGAAATTTTCTTTTGTATTTAAATAATTTAAGAAAGTAAAGCAAAATACAATATGTATAAGTTTAAAAAAATAAAGTATATATATTATTTTGAACTTATTATATTATTTATTGAACTAAATTATATAATTGCATCTGCCAAACACAGACACTGTATCCTACATTATTTTAATTTCTAGCACATCTCAGCTGCTTTTCGGCAATATTGTAGATATTGCATTTTCCTTATTCATAATCACAAATATGGATATTATATATTAATATTGTCTAGGCTCGCTTAAACTAAATTCAAATTTTAAGTAAACTGACACTTCCGGCAGATGACAGTTCTCATGTGTCAAAGTGTTTTCAATGTCAAACAATGATATTCATTTTTTTTTATTTATTTCTACAGTATTACTATAGTTTTATAATTTCTCACATCTTAAAAATTTTCCTTGACAAACTCTAAAAACATTTATCAAAATCCGAATAATCGTTTAGAAAGAGTATCAAGTCATACGTACAGAAGAATTTTTTAAGTTAAGAAAAAATAATTTTCTTTATTGTTATCATTGTTTGCTACTTACACGGGGTAGTATGATTTTTTTCTCCATTTTGTATTTAAATAATATAACTCTCCTTTTCCTAATCATAATTGGTTTTGTATTAATTTCCCTCAAAAAATATAATTTTATTAAGATATATAAGTTTGATGCTTTTAACCAGGTGATTACTATATGATGATACACATAAAATGTCAAAACGTATAACAAAAGAAGAAAGTTATTTTTTCTTAATATATTTTTTTTCATTTCGACGAATGGGCTGTTAGAACATTTTTTAACTTCTCGAAGGATAAGTTTATGTTTTCATAAAAAATCCGATTCGCTAATTTTATGTTTTCTCGACGTTTCAAACCATTCTGAATTGAATGAGACCAATTTTGAAAAAAGCATGTGTGTGTATGTGAACAGATTTTTTGCCGTAAATCGACGTTTTCTCAAAAACGGCTGGACCGATTTCAAAAATTCGAAAACCATTCGATGTATCTCGATGAGGACTATTGTTTGTCAGTTTTGTGCGACGATCGGCCAAGCCTTTTCTTGAAATCAGATCAGAAAAGTGAAACATTTGTCGTTCACGTTTTTAGCCCGCAATTCTGAAACAATTTTGCAAATACAGAAACCGTTCGAAAGTTATTGGTTGGGAATCGTGTTGATTAGTTTTTGGTAGAAGTCGGTCCCCATTTAAGCTCATACTACCGAATCGATTTTAAAAAATCAAAAACTGTTCGAAAGATATTAGTTGGAAATGATACCGATTAGTTTTAGGTGAAAATCTACCGAGTCGTTTCATTGTAATTAGCTATTGAAAAAAAATTAAGCCGATTTTTATGGAACTTTTTTGGCGATATATAATTAATATTATAGTCTTATAGAACTTACTGAAATATTGCGGCCTTACAAGTAGTTTAATTTTAAAAATTCATCAAAGTTTGAGAAAATGAGTAGTTTTTTTGACATTTGTGAAAATTAACTAGTGGTGTATGGCATCGGGTCTTGAGGCAAATTGCTGGAACCTCCCGTACCGTAACGAAATGTTCGAAGAATATTAAATATTTTCAAAATGATTATTATAAATATTGTAATATTGTAATATTTATAAGAAATATATAAACTGAATTGCAAAGTTGAAATTATTTGTTTAAAGTATATTAGAACTTCAGAATTAAAATTAAAATCGGAATTATTTTCGATATACAAAAAAAAAATGAAAAAAAATTGAAACAAGCAGGAAGTTCTTTGAATCATTCAAATCGGACGCTTAATTCTCTCAAAAACGCTTGAAAACGTGGACAAAAAAAATGCGAAAACACAAATCAATTTTTTCTGAGGTATGCCAAAATGTTCAGAAACCTTCAAAACGTAGAGAAATGCTAAAATTTTCATTTTCGATTTTCGGCCCATTACTATAACTACCCAAAAAATGGATGTGTGTGTATGTATGTATGTATGGATACAAATTTCCAGTCACGTTTTCGGGCGCACGGATCAACCGATTTGAATGGTTCAAAAAACATTCGGTTCATATTAATAGGGAAAAGAGCTGATTAGTTTTTGGCATAGGCAGGTCCAGCCGTTACGGAGGTACGGAGCAAAGAGTGCAGAAAATAGAAATCGAGTTTTTGAGAGAACGGAGTATCCGATTTGAATGATCTAAAGAACATTCAATTAGTAATGATTGGGAGAAGTGTTTAATAGTTTTTGGCAAAGGCAGGCCCAGCCATTTTGAAGATACGGAGCTAAATGTGCAAAAAATGGCAATTTTTGAGAGAACTAAGCGTCCGATTTAAATGATTCAAAGAACTTTCTGCTTGTCTTAATAAAATAATTGATTTTGGAAAAAATTCAAATTTTTTTGCACAATTTTTTTTTAATTTTTTGTATATCTAAAATAATTCAGATTTTATTTTTAATTTTGACTATAGTTCTAATATACTTTAAACAAATAATTTCAACTTTGCAATTTAGTTTATATAATTCTTATAAATATAAATAGACAATGTTACAATATTAATAATAATCTATTTGAAAATATTCAGTATTCCTCGAACATTTCGTTACGGTACGGGAAGTTCCAGCAACTTGCCTTAAGGCACGATGCCACCCACCCCACTAGTTTATATTTATATTTATGTATATATAAATTACCGAAAATTTGTACTAATACTTATTTGCACAAATACTGAGTATACATTCTGGTGCCCTAGTCGTTACACAATTGTTGTACAATTAATACATACAATCTTGTAACAGAACCAAATACAGTTTACAATGAAGCATCAATTTAAATATATAAATAGTATAATATTTTACCTTGCAAAGGGTGTCTGTTCCACATGATAAACATCCGAAATCGGTTCAGACTTAACAAGAGTCTTCACCCTGTCTTCACTTAATTCCAAAAATCCATCACCTGCCAATTTGATATGTTCCGGCAACATTTTCTTAATAATCAACAACACTTTATAAAAAAAACACTCACAATCACTATAAGTTTAAAATCAGCACCCAAGTTTTAAGAATTCACTCACTAAAAACTTTAAACACACACAAATAATATTCCATGATAAGTCTCGATATAGGTTAATGTAAACGAAAACACACGTGTAAATTAATTGAGAATTGGTTTTCCATATTTGTAAATTATTTAAAGATGTTTTTATGGAAATAAATTATAATCCTGTAAGAAAGTTGCAAATGACAGCACGATTGTGCAGAAAAACGATAAATGAATGAGTGCACGGAGTCTCGCAGCGTAGAGAGAGAAGCTTAATGCGTTCCCCTCCATTTTGTTGCTTCTGGTGTTGCTCGGTTCGGGGACAGATGGCGGCAGTGATAGTGTTGGTAGCTGAGATAAATAAATTGGAGGGAAATTCAAATTTAAACTATTTGAAATTGACATTTTGACTTAATGCAAGTTGCACGAACTTCTCAAAATGTGTTATAACTGACGTTGGAATTTAGATATTTAATTAAAATTTTCATCTCTTTATTTAGAAAATAAAGTTTTTGCTTTCAATTAAATTTAAACATTGCGATTTTTAATTGAATTTTCTCAAACGCATTTAAATTTCCTGTAATTATATTAATCATATTGAAGACAGACACGTGCTTATATGTCCTGAAATTGGAATTTATTATTTGAAATTTTAATGAATTCACAAAGTTTAACTTATCACATCAAGAAGTAATTTTGACTGTAATATTTTTCAAAGCTTGATGCATTTTTAAAAATAAAGTACTTTCCGTATGGCGGTCTAATTTTAGTATGCTTTTTAGGACCATGATATCTGTCAATATAAAAAGTTTCTTCAAAAAAAATTCTTTCAGCGGTCAATTAGGAAGCTTAGCCAATCGGGCAATCGTCACGACTACCTGATAATATCTATTGAATAGTTCAATAGATATTATCAATAGTTCAATAGTTCAAGTCAATAGTATCTATTGAATTTTTCAAATGGACGATTTTTTTTACTTTTCTGCTATTTACAAAAAATTCGCCGATCGTCGCTCGCAACTGAGAAACACAAGTCTTTATCGAGTTTTATCGAGCGGCTTTTAAATTTTTGAAATCAGCCCAGCCGTTTTTGAGAAAACGTCGTCAAAAGGTCAAAAAGCTGTTAACACAAACACACAAACCCGCGCATAGTATTTCCAAATTAGGTCTCATTCGATTCGGAATGCTTGAAACGTCGAGAAAACATAAAATTAAAAAATTTTGGATGAAAACTCCTTCGGGGACCTAATTAATGGTGGCTGGAACCCGTAGCGTAATTCATAATTTTTAAAAGTTCAAAAAATAAAAATATTTTTTTTTTAGAATTTTGATTTTTTTTTAACATTTTTTAAATATTGAAAACATTTGAAAAAGTTGAATATGGAAAGTTTTTGATACCCATTCATATAGGTTGATTCAAATTACAAAATATCTGATTTGCGACCGCCAAATGGATCTCCGAAACCACCGGACCTGTCGTTGCAAACACTAAATAAATTCTTAATTACGTCAATACAAGTGAAAAGTTTAATGAATCATTCTAATCGGATGCTCCAATCTAGCAAACACCGAGATTCTATTCTATTCCGAAACAAATGGACCAACCAAAAACTAATCAGCACGTCTCACCATCAATAGGAATCGAACGATTTTTGAATAATTCAAATCGGTTGATCCTTTGATCCGATCGGAATCATCGGTGATCCCAAAAACGTCGACAAAAAATTGTATCAATACATACACACATACTAAACACGCACATTCATACATACATTTTTCTAAGGCATGCCAAAATGCTCAGAAAATCTGAAACGTAAGGATATGAAAACACTTTCATTTTCGATTCTTAAGCGATTACTATAACTTACCCTAAAAGAAGTTAATTAGTGGTGCATGGCATTGTGCCTTAATTTAATTGAAACTCAATGGTCATTTAAAAGAAAAAAGACCCGGAAACGACAAAAATGATAAGATTTCAATTATTAGGCAGATGAATTACTAAATCGAGTATTTTGTCGTTTTTTCATTTTTTCCAATTATTTGCCATTTGACCCACCGTTTGTTACCTTTCGAATTTTTAAAATCTATTCAGAATTTTTAGCTAAAACTTGAATGAATAATTTTACACTTTTCTACTGATTCTAAAAAAAACGACTAAATTGATTGTATCAAAAAACTAGTTGGTTTGGTATTTAGCCTTGAGGCAAGTTACATGAACTTCCCGATATGTGTAATTAATCGTCTTAATCAATAAAAACTAAATTAATTTATGAGTGATTAAAGTATTCCGAGTAGATTTATTACACATAATTGAAAACGAGCGACCACTTTGACACGGAGTATTTTCTAAAAGTAAATTTTCAGAAATCAACAATTGTTATAATTGAACCAGTTTCCATAGGACTTTAATATGTTCATTAAAACCAAGTACTCTATCGTTATACCAAGTAAAATCGTCCAATTTTAATTTTAACAAACGTCAAAAAAACTACTTATTTTCTCAAACTTTGATGATTTTTTTAAACTAAACTACTTGTCGTAGGGTCGTAATATTCCAATAAGTTGTATAAGACCATGATATATATCATCAAAAAAAGTTTCATAAAAATCGGCTCAATTTTTTTTTCAACAACGAATTACAAGAAAACGGCTCGGTAGATTTTCACCTAAAACTCATCAGTACCATTCCCAACTAATATCTTTCGAACAGTTTTTGATTTTTTAAAATCGGCTCGGTAGGATGAGCTTAAATGTGGACGAAAAGTTTAAAACTTTTTTTCAAATTACAAAGAAACGGCTTGGCAGATCGTCGCACAAAACTGACAAACGGTAGTCCTCATCAAGATACATCAAATGGTTTTTAAATTTCTGAAATCGGTTCAGACTTTTTTGAGAAAACGTCGATGATAGGTCTAGTTTTGACAAATGCTAAAAAAACGATGCCAAGTTTTGCAAACTTTGACGAATTTTTAAAGTTAAACCAATTGTTGTAGGGCCGTAATATTTTAGTATGATCTAGAAGACTATAATATCTTTCCGTCAAAAAAATATTAATAAAAATCGTCGAAAAAATTTTTTTTAACACTTTATTACAAGAAAGCGGCCCGGCCGATCTCTACCAACAACTCATCAGCACGATTCCCAATCAATATCTTTCGAATGGTTTTTGAATTTTCACGATCGATTCAGAACTGCGGGCTAAAACGTGGACGAAATTTTTTTCACTTTTCTGCTATTTACAAAGAAACGGCTTGGCTGATCGTCGCGCAAAATTGATAAACGCTAGTCCTCATCGAGATACATCGAACGACTTTTAAATTTTTGAAATCGGTCCAGCCATTATTGAGAAAACGTCGATTTACGGCAAAAAATCTGTTCACACACACACACATACTTTTTCCAGATTTGGTCTCATTCGATTCAGAATGGCTTGAAACGTCGAGAAAACATAAAATTAGCGAATCGGATTTTTTGATGAAAACATAAATTTCTCCTTCGGGAAGTTAATTAACCAACGCGAGTGCTTATAAAGTTTAATAAAATGGCTTTTAAGGTTTTGAAATCGGTTCAGCCGTTTTTGAAAAAATGTCGATGAAAGGTCTAATTTTGTCTCTCGTCAAAAAAAGCGCTTCTCATTTTCTTGAACTTTGATGAATTTTTGAAAATAAACTGTTTATCAAATGGACGTAATATTTTAATATTATGCACTTTAAGATCAGATCGCAGATCCATGAATATTATATTCATGAATCATAGTCATATATATAACATTCTAATATTGTCTAAGTCATTATCTCTATAGTCAAAAAAATTTCAACATTTAATTATAAGGAAACGGTCTAGATGTTTAAATGTTTTCAAATAGATTATTATAAATAATACTGTAACATTGTAGAATAATTATAAGAATTATCTAAACTAAATTACAAAGTTAAAATTATTTCATTAAAAAAGTATATAAGTGAGCTTTATAACTTTAGCCAGAATTAAAATTAAAATCTGAATTATTTTCGAAAAAAACATTTTTTGAAAAAAAAAAAAAATTTGGAAACAAAAAAATTTTGAAATATTTTATTTTTCCAAAAGCAGATTTTTTAAAAATCATTCAATTCAGATGCTTAATTCTTTCAAAACTGCCATTTTTTTCAAAAAATTAAACACCACTTTTCCCCAACAAATAAGTCATAACAAATTGAATGTTTTTTGGATTATTCAAAACGGATGCTCCGTTGCACTCTTTGCTCAGTATCTCCGGAACGGCTGGACCTGTCTCTGCCAAAAACTAATCAGCATATCTCACTATCAATAGGAATCGAATGTTTTTTGAACCATTCAAATCGGTTGATCCGTGCGCCCGAAAACGTAAACGCACATCTATTTTTTCTGAAGTATGCCAAAATGTTCAGAAACCCTTTAAACATGAAGATATGCATAAATTTTCATTAAATTATCCTATGGGAAGTTATTGAAGAGCATTTCTTCTCTAAAAACAACAAATATTTAAGTTTGCAAAGATTCGAAAAATGTATTTATAATCAACAGTGGTAAATACAAATTTAATAACAATATTTAATATGAATTTATCTTATTATACTTATATTTATCTTATTAAACAATTACATATTGCACATTAAGAATTCACTATAATTAGTAAAAAGAAAGAAGGATTATAAGGTCAGATGATTTCACTGTTAATTCCAATTTCTTTGTCAGCTTTCTTACATTATAACATCATACTCCAGTATAGGTCATTTCAGGCCAATTTGATGTTCATTCATTCTTATGTTAATATACTTGTTAGATCAAAAGCTCACACTTAAAGCACTTATTATTATTAGATAATACACTTTCTCATCTTGAAAATTTAGGGAAAATTTTGAGAGAAAACTGAAAAAACGAAAGATATGAAAGCCCTGTCAACTCATTTCTAGTGCAGACATTAAGGACTTTGTCATGAAAAAAAAGCAAAATTCACAGAGATTCACACACAAAGCAGAAGAAATTAATTTTATTTTTAAATTCTCATAAAGAACTTTCTTCCAGAAGGATTTAAGTGCGTTATCCGAGGCACCACTGTATAAGAGTATTCTCCAGTGTGAATGATTTTATGTCGGTTCAAGCTGTACTTCGATGAGAATGTTTTATTGCATATTTCACAATTATAAGAATGTTCTCTAGTGTGAACCATTTTATGTCGGTTTAAATTTTGCTTTGTTGTGAATGTTTTATTGCATATTTCACAATTATAAGGATGTTCTCCAGTGTGAATCATTTTATGTAGCTTTAAGTATCCTTTTCTTGTGAATGTTTTATTACATATTTCACACTCATAAGGGTATTCTCTAATGTGAATAATTTCATGTCGGCTTAAGCTTTGCTTCAATGTAAATGCTTTATTGCATATTTCACAATTGTAAGGACGTTCTCCAGTGTGAATCACATTATGTAGGTATAGGTTTTGCCTTGTTGTAAATGTTTCATTGCATGTCTTACATTCATAAGAGCGTTCCTTAGTGTGAATCATTTTATGTCGGTTTAATTTTTGCTTTTCTTTAAATTTTTTATTGCATGTCTCACATTTATAAGGGCATTCTCCAGTGTGAATCATTCTATGTCTGTTTAATTTTGACTTTGTTGCAAATGTTTTATTGCATAATTCACAATTATAAGGATATTCTCCAGTGTGAATCATTTTATGTTGATTTAATGTTTGTTTTGTCGCTAATGTTTTATTGCATATTTCACATTCATGGCGTTTCAAATTATGGGTGTTCTTTTCTGGAACTCTTTCAAACGATTTGCTTGCATTACCCACTACAATATTTGAATTAAAGATTTCTTCATTTTGCTCATCAAACGTTTCTTGCTTTATTTCTTCTTCGATTATTACCTCAGATTTCAGAAATCGTTGTAGATATACTTGGTCGTTTTCTAGATAATTATTATCGTAATCATCCAATTCTTGTTTCACTTGAAGATAATCTATCGGTTCAATTTTAATTGTTGTGTTTGAAATTGTTTCTTCAGACATTTTCGACGTTTTTAAATAAATTTTATTGTAAATTAATTTAAAATACCTAAAAAAGTTAAGGTATAAATTAATTTAAATGTTTTGAATAAATAATGAATATAATGTATATTTATAATAGTTTTGTATAAATACAAAATATTTCGAAACACTTTGACATTTCTAATTAACTCTCACACACATAAGAATGAGATCAGGTTGGATAACGTTGAAAATATTAATACCAACCGCGGGAGTATAGGCATAGGCGGTAAAATATAAATTTACAAACTTCACTTTAGTAGAACAAAAAATATTAATTGATCATCAGGATTTCAGGATTAAATAACTTCTAAAATAAATAATTATTTGTTGTTTATGTACAATTTTTACAATTTGACAAACGAGGAAATCTCCCGATTGATTAAATGTCATGTTTCATTTGTATTATATTACATTCATTATGCTTATTTATCTATGGTTACATTATTGTAATATGTTAGGAGGCATTAAATCAAGCTAAGACCATAGATAAAAAAAGAGTATATAGATCGCTCTCTCGGGGCATATTTCGTTGCCACGTTAACTGTCAACTTGCCGGCGTTAGTTCGAGCTGCTCTCCCTTGGTGCGCACGCGTCGATCGTAGAACGGGTGCGTACAAAAAATACTATTCGCTCCGAGCGTGACTGCAGCGCCCATGCAGCGCCGTAATAAATATGAACTAATTGGGGTTATCAGTGTGTGGTTTTCATGGGTTTTACATGTTTGTTAAAGAAAAAAGATATCAAATAATTGTTATAAATAATAATGAACAAGATACAGTAATCATGTGAACGCTGAATGTTTATTGAAATTATTAAATTTACTTCAACGTACTTAAGACATTGTTAAGTATAATGATTAATTAAATAAAGAAATGCAGTAAATATTTGTAAGGTTAAGTGCCTCAAAGCTTATGTCATAAACTCGGAATAGTTCTTAATAAAAACAATATAATAATATGATAATAATGATAAATAATATTTTATCAATAGAATAAGTAAATAGTAAATTAATTTATTCAATTTTTTGGTCAAACTAAAGACTTAGACATTATTATAAAGACATAATTTAGACATTATTATAAAGACAAGACCCATCAAATAAAATTGCAGGAAAAAACTACATTAACTTTTCGAAATTAACTTATTGAAGAAAATATTGTTGACAAGTAGGTAGGACTCAATACCTCGACCGATTCACTGCAAATGCTTGGGAACCCACGGTGATCCATCAACACTACAAATATATATTTCGCATTATTTGAGCATTGTATTAATTAAACTGTTTGCAAAATAAAACATTTTTTCGCTATGTGATAACTTTTATTTTTTTAATCATAAAATTACAATTATTATATAATAAAATGTAATTAATATATAGATAATAGTTATACATAATCAATATACAATATATAAATATGTATTTTTCATTATTTCAGGCTTGTATTAATTACATTGTTTTACAAAACAATTTTTTAGTAAGCATTAAATTTTGATAATACAGCAATTTATTGACTTATAATTTTTCTTTTTGCTAAACATAACAATTTTACAACTATTCATAATACTCCGAATTGTATTTTTATAACAATAAGGTTATGATACTTACTTTATTCTTCTAACCGCTGCGATCCACTTTTCCCGTTGATTTTCTTTCCACTTAGCTGTAGAAAATGTATAGAATTTGCAGTCACTTTTTCTGCTGGTATTTCTACAGCCCACTACAGAACAGCTATGGTGGCTCATTTTTAATTATCTTATTTAAATTTGAAATAAATAAATATTTTATGTGTTTTTGTTTAAAATTTTGTTTATAATAGCCCCTTTTAGTGCTCCAAGTTAGCCACTACGAACGCTTCGGTCGATTTGACTTCCCCTTCCATGCCTTCGCACATAGCCAATAGAAATGCACCAATATTATAGACCGTTTGAATTCAAAATTAAAAAAAAAAGAAATTGAATTTTAAAAAACATTTATTTTTAACAATAGTATTTTACACACATGGTTACAAAAGATTCATCCTTATAAGCTAAACACAAAAGAAATAAAAATGTATATATATGTATATATATATATATATATATATATATATATATATATATATATATATATATCTATATTTATAGGTATATTCTAGAGCAAAGATTACTCATAATTACAATTAGATTAAGATAAATAATTTAAAAACATCTCATAATTCGATCTCAATAATAAATAAATCAAAAAAATTTGAGAAACTATCGGATATCTTTCATTATTTGCAAAAATTTGAGAAGCTATCGGATCTCTTTCATTATTCGCAAAAGTAACAAAATTTCTAGAAACTAAAAAGAGAAAAATAATTATATTCATATAAAAAGTAAAAAATAAATATATTTAAAAATCATTTGCAAAATTAATGCATACGATAATCTTCTCAAGCAACTCAGTTTATATTTTTTTCGAATAATGCTAATTAACAATTAAGTTACTGTTTTGTTTCTGTTAATATTTTCTACGACTAGTGTTGATGTTCATTTGAATGTTGAACAAAATGTCATTATCATCATTAACATAAAAAAAGGAAATTATTAATAGCAATGTACAAGTACTTAATAGTTTTCTTATGGCATCTTCAATAACACATTTAAGAATAACATCTCTATCAGAAATAAGGGGTGCACGTTAATGGAGTTTTATTCCTCTAAATAAAAAAGAGATTAGCAAATATACTTTCTTCCATTTGACAGTTCCTGTCAATCTGTACAATGTGATTATCTTTACGATCATTAAACAACGCAGATAATAATATTTCTGTGTAATATCAAAATGCAACTATCACTACTCACAAACTTTTCGTGGAACATAGCCAAACCGAAATTACCCCTTAGCTAGAATTTTATCATTAAGCATGAATTTCTTTCCATTTAATAATTCAGTATCTTCTCTTAGCCGACTTAATATATCATTATGATTACTATTATTCAATGCCAGTGGGAGATCAGCAAATATTTCAGCATGTTTCAGACTGGCTTGTAATTTCTTTATTAATGTTTTTCCCTGTTTATTCATCTCATATCAATACTTGTGTTTAGTAAACCCGTTTCATAACTACTTCCAAGAGAAAAACTGCTGACAAAAATCAATGTTAAATCATTTATTATAAACCTTTATTATTAGTACAAGAATAATTCTTAAAAACTTACCTATCAGTGAGTTGGTTAGTCTGACGGCAATTTTATCTTTCAATAACTATAACCTTAAAATTCCTATCATTGTTAAATGTCTCAGTTATTATGCTATAATAAAAACTTATATCAGACTAGTAGTAATAGATGCAAGTATTTTGAAGTATGCATATTGATAAAAATACTTACTTATTGTATAAGGCCCGTAAATATTATTAATCATTTTACATACTACATAGGTTCTAGTAGAAAACACTAGTTTGGACCAGCCAAATAGCAAACGTCTACAATATCCAAAACAATATTTATTTGTGATTAATGTTTGGTTATTTTATTCTTATTGCGTACTTTGTCATTTCTCGCTGGAAATACATGCAATTTTGCATTTTTTGGTATTAGTGCACCCTGGAACGTAACACATCGACATTTTGCTTGCAAACTAATCCTAATCTTTATAAACGCAACCGAACGTTCTCGAAATTGTTTGATTGCCCGCGTTGAAATTCTTACCAGATGAGTGCCAAATCGCTGCAAGAGCGCTTCAAGGGAGAGCAGCTCAAACTAAAATCGAGCTACAGAGTTTTGTTCGGAGATTACCGGCCATGGCTAAGACTTTGCATAATTCAGCCAGCATGAAGTTGCCGGCGAAGACTGATATCAAGCTGTCAAGCATTTCAGATGTCAAGAGCGCGTCGGCCATTTTGTTCATTTTTATATCAGCGTTGTGTCGGCGTATTGTTTTTTATTAAGTAGACTTGTTTCATATTTAATATTTTTTAGCTTTTCGTTATGATTCATTCTTTTGTGTTTATTTTTTTATGTCCGTTCAAGTTTATTCGCTTTGGCTTTTTGATTACGCGCCTATTTAGTTCTTATTTTAATTTTTACATTTTAGGGTTATGTTTTAGGATTCTTTTCATTCAAAGATTATTTTAGTCTAGCTTAGATTTTATACAATGTTTTAGTTATAATTTTGTTTTAAAAATAATTTAGGCTTACGTTTTACGCATAGGGTTACATTTTATTCATTATTTTAAGTCTAGCTTAGATTTTATACAATGTTTTAGTTATAATTTTGTTTTTAAAAATAATTTAGGCTTACGTTTTACGCATAGGGTTACATTTTATTCATTATTTTTGTAAGGGTTACGTTGAATACATTATTAGGTTTGGTTACGATCTTAACCTTAATTCAGTGGAAGCTAACTAAAACTCAACAAACACAAATAGAAGGTTCAGTAAATGAAATAAAATTGAAACACTTCTGATGTTATAATACTAAACCAAAATACTTCATACTGTCTTGGAATTGACAGATATATTTCGTTTTTTCTGCAATATTTGCTATGAGGGAACAAGATATATTGTATTTTAACGTAATATATTGTCTAAGATAAAGGCTATCATCTTGATATTAGACAATATAATAATAATAATACTTGTTTGGCTATGATAATAATGATCTTGACAGGTTTTAGCTGTCAAAGTTATGAATCCAATACATTTCAACTTGACGTCTAACTTCTATTTCGTCGCCAACTTCATGCTGGCTGAAATATGCAAATGTCAAAATTCTTAGCCTGATTTAAGGTGGTGTTAATATGTTTTATTTCAATCAGCAAGTGACGTCACAGTTTCTTCATCTACTAAATCATAGATAAATAAGCAAGTACTAAATGGTCAAAATGGTCAATGGTTAAAAAGTCTATGGTCATCTATGGTAATAGGCAATATACTCTTCTTTTATCTATGGTAATAGGTAATCTCTCAACAAATTTTTATTGCTTTTAACTT